CAACTTTTTCTTTTTTAATTAATTATTTATTGTAATTAGGTATATATGACAGCAGAATGCATTTTTATTTATTGTACACAATTGCAGCACAACTTTTCATTTCTCAGGTTGTACATGATATAGCGTCACTCCACGTGTGCATGTACCTAGGGCAATTATGCCCATCTCATTCCACCATCTTTCCTGCCCTCATGCACCCTCCCTACCCTCCCTATCCTTTGCCCAATCAAAGTCCCTCCATTTTTCTCATGCTTCCATTCAACTTTTGATAAATGGCTTCTTCAGGCTGAACACCTGATGATCAACCTTTAGATTCATAGAGAAAATGTGCTAGTGTATTTTATTTAGCATTTCACAGCAATTAAATATATTAATTTTATTAACATTAATACAAGGCCTAAGGTGATCCTATGTATCAGAACCATTTAAGTTAGTCTCATCATCCCCAGCTACAGGATGTTCCCCTACCTGCTGGATCAGTTTCAATGTTAATTCCCTCCTAAATTTGGCTTCCAACTGGTAGTGTTCCTAGGACCAAAGTGTTCCCTAGACAATCACTGAGAAATCATGCATCAGTTAGTCTTGATTTCCTCTTTGCTTAGATGTGAGAAAGATAACATTTTGACTGTCTTTTTGTTCTTTTACTAGGAGGGAAAGAGCAGAACCTCCTTCCAGCTCTGAGACTCTTGGTTACACCTGTGAAAATTGACTAATTCAAAATCTCCTCAGTGTTTTAAAGATTGGTGATGTACAGTTCAATAAAAAATAGCTTTAGAGAAGTATAAATGAAAAACTACACTTGTTTAAAGTGTGCAATGTGAACCAGGAGTGGCAGTGCATGCCTGTAATCACAGTGACTCAAGAGACTGAGGCAGGAGGATTGCAAGTTCAAGGCCAGTCAGGGCAACTTAGAGCCTGTCTCAAAATTAAAAAAAAAAACCCTCAGTGCCAGAATTTTCTTAAAAATTAAATATGATAAATTTTGGCAAATATGTAACTGTCAAATTATTGTCACAGTCCAGATAACAGACATTTAGATCATGTCCCTTTATTGTTTTTAAAAAATTAATTGATTTTTTTGTTCTAATTTGTTATCCCTTTGTTATTAATGTCTCTGTCCACTCTCTTCCCTTGGGAACCAGTCCCCATATATTTGTTTGTGTTTTCTAGAATTTTACATAAATGGAAACATTGTAATAGACTCCTTGTCTTCTTTCAGTCAGAATAATTATTTTGAAGTCCATCCATGATGTTGTGCATCAACAATAGATTCTTTTTGAGGAATGACTAATATTTCATTGTGTAAATATAACAGCATTGATTTCTATTCACCTATTCATAGACACTTGGGTAATTTCTACTTTCTAGCTGTGATGAATAAAGCTGCTATGAACAACCTTGTACAGATTTTTGGGTTTACACAAGTTTTAATTTCTTTGCCAAAAATCTCCATGGGTACAATTGCCTTCCTAATAAGTGTACCTTTAACTTTTTAGGAAACTGCCAAACTGTTTTCCCAGCACTTACAATGTATGAGAATTCTTGTTGCTCCATATCCTTGTCAACAATTGATGTGATGAAAATTTTTTTCCAGTAGAAACTTTTTTTTCCTAATAGGTGTGTAGTTGTATCTCATTGTGGTTTTACTTTGTATTTTCCTGTAACTAATGATGTTAAGCATCTTTTCATTTGTTTATTGTCTATTCCTGTATCTTCTGTTATAAAATATTTCTTCAAACCTTTTGCCCATTTAAAAAAGTTGGATTTCTACCTTTTATTAATACACTTAGATTTCATCTCCCCAAAAACTGAAAATAGGTTTTCTTCAGAATAAAAATCATATACATGTTTGTGAGACTGCAAATACATCATTAACTTGGCCACGTCTATACCTATTTATTCTTGAATGGTGATTTCTCATGGTACCTTTCTATCTTTTTAAACTTTGGATATTCTAAGATTGTACTTACATTTCTCTTGTGTATAGCTTTTTTGGTAAGAATAGATCTATAATAAATCCAGTTGAACTTTAACTTCTCTAGAGAATATACAGTATTTTAGGTAACAAGGTTATATGTGCAAGGCTAAAAACCAACCACTTAGGGTGTAAGTGCTTTATAGATAATGCATCCTATGGGAATTTTAAGCAACAACAAGACTTTGTGTATTTAAGGAAATATTTTACAAGGGTGACATTGATTTCAAGAAAGGGAAATGAGGCAGTTCAATGAATATCATTTACTATAAATAAGTGAAAGGTTTCCCTTTTCTCTTTACTGTTATTTTTTTTTAAGAGCAAGTGAGAGCATACTTGGAATGTTACTTTTCCAGTTACAGACTGACAAGGTAGTGCACATTTCTCTGACTACATTAATTAGAGAATTTATGACTTAATCTTTGTTTTCAAAACAGGATGCAATTCCAACAGAAAATAAGTTGTTTATCTTATGGAATTTTTAATCATTTTACATAACATTCTTTAAATGGCAACAAAGAATCCATGTTCAAATTTCCTTTTGAATGGGAAAAAAATATTTTTAACAAAAAAGGCATCTGCTTATGTCTGTCAGTGCTCCTTAAAAAAAAAAAAAAAACTTATCTGTTGTTTCATTAATCTGGAAAGACAAATGGCCATGCATTTATTTTTATTTGATCATCCTTTTCCAACAAATGTCATGACTCAGATGTTCATATCAAAATCTTTGGAAAGTCACATCTCATATGCCTCTGTCTCGGTGAAACTAAATGTGAGTATGTGCTTTTGGAAGTGAATTTGCTAATTAGCGTCCTGAATTCATGGGACTTACATAGAGGCCCTTCACAGAAATTTGGAGCAAATATTTCCCGCCTCACATCTTCAAGTAGAATTAGAACTGGTGGGGCAAAATTTGTGGTAATCCATGATGAGGTTTTACCATCACTACTCCCCTTTTCCTGGCTCCCATTGACTGCAGAGAAATTTCCAGGGCCCTACTTTTCAAAGTGGGGTCTTTGCATCAGCAGCTTGGGCGTCACCTGGAGACTCATTTGAAATGCAAATTAGCTGGTCCTCCTCCACACCTCAATGGAACGAAAGCAGAAACTAGGGGGCAGGGTGGGGTGGGGCATAGCAATCTCTTAACCAGCCTTCCAGGTGAGTCTGCAGCAGCTGAGTTTGAGAACCACTGGTGTAGGTTAATGAAGGAAGTTGTGACTACAAACCTATATAAAATTCATTTCTTACAGCTTCAAGCTGACAGGTTCATTACCAGGTTGCTGTGGCAACAACTGCAGAGTAGGATTGAATAATGAGACATTGTGAAATTAAGAGGCATGAATATTAACCCATCCCCAAATTCTAAATCCCTAAGATTTATATTGGGCAAAATGGATTTTTACTTTCAGCCTTATGGCAAGGAGAAACATAGTTTGATAAGGTTTTATGTTTGATAAGTGAAAACCATGTGTATTTTTTTAAACATCATTCCTTTGGAATTTAGATAAGTTTTTATAGAAAAGTAGAGTTACATTTGAAGACATTCATCACAGAAATCATAACATTCTCAGCAGTGTTTTATAACCCTGAAGAGTTAACTTTTAATTAGATATTTTAATACATCATAATAGCTTTATTTGTCTATAATATTTGTTTTACAAAGCACAGTGCTGGGCACCTAGTGGTTATTAAATAAATATTAAAAACTTAAGCCGTTATTTGGCCATTTATGGTCATAGAAATAGTTATTATAACAAATATATTTGTATACTATATTCTTTTCTTTAATATATGGTCTAAGATTCAGCACTTTCTGTATTCAAAGAATTAAATTCATGTTACGGTTTGCATTTTATTGATATGTGCTAAGGATTAGATGCACCCAGTTAAGCTTCTTCCTGGCCAAATGACATACCCTGTCTCTGATGTCAGTCTGAGAAAATCCTATATAGTGTACTACATCTCCGGATTACCTTATCTAAGTAGTACATGGACATTTCGGATGATATGTCTTGGCATGTGGTCATTTTTCATTAACTTATTAGGGATTATTAAAGCATCTTTTCTCCTTTTTGACACCTTGCCATAATTGAATATAAAATTGACTATAAGACTGGATGCCTGATATTCATGTAGTAAGTTGATGGAGCTTCATTGGTGTCTAACAGAAATAATGCCCAGATATTTTAGGGGGAAAATGGGCTCTGTTGCCATCTGATGTGGTCTGTGTACAAATAGCATCTACATTTTGGACTATTTTTTTTCCTCAACTATTAGAATGGAGGATTTGTTACATCATCTTTAAGATTATAAGCATTTTAAATTCTAAGATTTGGGGGAAAAGGAGGAAAACATCAAAATCATAAAGCACCACCAAAGTGCAATACATGACTGAATATTTTTTTATTTGGTAAAAGAATAAATTAAATAATAAGTAGTAAAAAGTAAAAAAAAACTTTGTTGGAGACTATGGGGAATAATATTAGGTACTTTGATTTTAGGATATTAAATGGGCATGTTTTAGGGAAAATATTTTAGATGAGTATATTTGAAGTTAATGTTTTCCCCTCAGAGTTTTCACATTGAATTATTTGTTCTTAAATCCAATGTATGGGAAATACTTAAAAAAGTAAATAACTTTAATATTTTAAGCATAGGTGTGCTCTATAGATCATTACTCTCTAGAAGAGGAATATCTTTAAAGGACAGCTCTCTACACTTTATACTTGTCTGCACTCACTTATTTCATTACATTTTGTGCAACCTAAAATTGTAGCTATAAAGCTATTTTGGGCATGCTTTTTCCAGAACTTGTAAGAATCAACAGGAGCATAATTTTAAGCTACAGAAGTGCAAAATAAGCACAGAATCCTAGCTACCATAAATAAAAGGCCAGAATTCTAACTTTGCAAAAACTCATAATTATTAGCAATGGGGGAGGGGAAGTGTGAGCACCAAAAGTGGAGTTTTATGGGATATTTCTCCATACTTCTAAACTTTCCCCCTGAACTTTATTTCTTCTCAGAGATGGAATTCTGTGAAACCCCTCACACTTTGTGCTCTGGCTACCAGACAGACATGCACAGTGTTTCTCGGCATGGCTACCAGCTAGAGATGGGATCTGATGTGGACACAGAGACTGAAGGTGCAGCCTCACCTGATCATGCACTGAGAATGTGGATAAGAGGAATGAAATCAGAGCATAGCTCCTGTTTGTCCAGCCGGGCCAACTCTGCTTTGTCCTTGACTGACACTGACCACGAAAGGAAGTCTGATGGGGAAAATGGTAATAAAATCACTTACACCATTTAAGTAAAACACAAAGAGATTTGTTTTACCCTTTGTTTTGTTTTCCTTTCCTGTATCTTCCCATCTGTCATTTAACATGCAGAATGTGATTGCAAATTATTAGGGTCCCATGGACAAGGCATATCCCTAAGTATCTGGAAAGTAGATGTATTTATTTATAATGATAGACAAAATTCTTTTCATTTCTGGGGAACCCCTAGGGAAATAATCTCATTCGGTCAGCAATATTGTGCATGTCTTATTTATTGCTTGCTTTTATTTTCATCTTTATTTTCCAGTGCAATCCTAGTGGGATTTATTATAGAAAATACTCATTTTATGTATTTTGGCTTTATATCAATGTATGAACAATGAGATGAACAGTTGTATAGCAAGCATACTCTTTATATGTTTCCTATTTTGATTCAGATTAACCTGTTGAATGTGCAGATTGATTCAAATTAATCAGGTTAGGCTGAATGGTTTAAATAATAGATGATAAATTAACAGTAGTCATGTTCTAGGAAATAAGTACTGATGATATGATTATTATAATGTAATTATATACTATTTTCTTGTGATTTTTAGAAAAAGAAAAGTTTTATCTTTCTAATTTGTTGGGAAGGGGCTAACTTATTTCTACTCTTCTGTCTCTACCAACAACTAAAACACTTGCTTAAAAATCACATTAATTCTTACTGAACACATTAATCTGTTCATTGCTATTCAGTTTGTCCAAATTTCACATGTTTCCATCACCATGACTATGAAGCCTAGTCTGTTAGCAATGGCTAATTGCTATTTTCTTAGGTGGCAGAGGTAGCCAACTGTTCTGAACTGGCAGTTTCTTCTAGTCTATCCCTTTGTGCCTCCTTGAGCCCAACAGAGACACTGGACACAAGAATATAATCAGGAATATAATTTTCTAATAATAGTACATAACATTTCATGATATTACCAAATATCTTTGGGAACTTGACTTTTTATGATTATTTTCCTATATGTATGTATATAATGCTGAAATGAGAAGGGAACATATTGATATGTTTATGCACATTCATGTAAGTGAAAAAACATTAAGATGGAAGTTAGGAGACTTTGGAATGGTACCTATATTTTGGGGGCTTCATGTATTTTTCAAGAAAAACAGTGACCAATATTATATAAAATTGAGTGGTATTTGATCTCCTCTATTATCAAGACATCTTGTTCTCCTTCATTCCACTCCTGACATTGGAATTTATAGCAAATTCACTGGATTAAACCATTAAAATCCAAGAAAGACATTTCTACACTGTATTCTCCCATACTTCTACTTCTGTAAGACCCGTAGTATGAGGATACTTTTAGGGTGATAAAAATATTCTAGAATTAGATATTGGTGATGGTTGCATAACTCCATGAAAATACTGCAAACTACCGAATTGCATGCTTTAAAAGGGAGGTATTATAGTATGTGAAGTATAGTTCAATAAAGCTTTTTATTTTAAAAAAAATCACTGAAAAAGGTTAAGGTTGAAGATTGAAAAGTCCCAGATGATTTGGACAAGGATTAATTAGTAAAATGTTTGCTATTACAGGTTTCAAATTCTCTCCAGTTTGTTGTGACATGGAGGCTCAAGCTGGGTCTACTCAAGGCAAGTGTTTGCAAATATTTGACTACAAATTGTTTTTACCTCACCCCATCCCTGACACCCATCCCCTCAAAGGGGAACCCTGTTCTTCTGACAAACAACACAATGAACTTGGTAAAATTAGCCCAGTGTCAGTTTTTGTTTTGTTTTCCTCTGTTATCAATTAATGGAAGCATACCTAGCAGGACATGGATTTCATCTATTTGTTTTTACATAGTCATTTTTCAGCAAGGAGGGCATTATTATTTTTACTTTTGCCTTTATTGTGCTCATTGGGTTTTGACCCCCTTTTTAAAAAATATTTTTTAGTTGTCAATGGACCTTCATTTTATGTTTTTATATGTGGTACTAAGAATTGAACCCAGTACTTCATACTGGCTAGGCAAGCGCTCTGCCTCTAAGCCACAACCCCAGCCCGGGTTTGGCCCCTTTGGAGAAGAATACTGAAAGCAACTTTTATGAGTGATTTTGTTGACTTAATCTGTATTGAGCCGTTTTCAAACATTTTACAGTTAAGGTCCTCATATCTAACCACAGTGATTCAAACACAGAAGACAGATATATAGGGTTTATAACAGTACTTGTAACATACAAGTATGATATGGATACTTATTATTTTTGTATCAGCATTTCAAAATTATTCATATCATTATTAATATCAGTGAGGATATGAAATGAGATAACTCATTTTATCTTCATGACTACTCTGTGAAATAGATCTATTATCAACCCTATTTCACACATAAGGAAGTGTTAAAACAACAATTCAAAAAGAAGCTAGCCATTTTTTCTTCCTTGTATCACGTATGTATATAATATGAACTTAAACAACTCTCCTCTGCTTACATTAGAGTTCTGAATGTCTTATTCTGTTATTACTATTTTCTTTTTTTTAAAAGGGGGGGAGAGGGGGAGGGAGAGAGAGAGAGAGAGAGAGAGAGAGAGAATATATATATTGTAGATGGACATAACACAATGCCTTTATTTATTTTTTTTTTTATGTGGTGCTGAGAATTGAACCCAGGTCCCGCCCATGCTAGGCGAACGCTCTACCACTGAGCCACAATCCCAGCCCACTATTTTCTTTTTTTAAGCATATAAAGCAGGGTTTATTTAAAAAGGAGTACTTCTTATTAAATAATAAATAATAATAAATAATACTTCTTATTAAAAAGGAGACTTCTCCTGGGAGGGAGAAGGGGGCCATAGCTGGTATCCTGGTATCCCTAGAAGCAGGAGTGTTCTGCCTTTTTTTTTTTTAAAAAGAGAGAGTGAGAGAATTTTTTTAATATTTATTTTTTAGTTATTGGCAGACACAACATCTTTGGCATGCCAGGCGAGCGCACTACCCCTTGAGCCACATCCCCAGCCTGGTGTTCTTTTTAATAAGTCCTATGCTTCCCTTGTACTCCTGGTCTCTTGCCCCTTATCTCTCTCCTTCCTGATTACATGAGTAGGCTCAGGAAATGCTCAGTGGGATGGCCAAAAGGTGGGAAACAGGTGGGTTGGAGGGGCCAGGGAGGAGAGATCAGGGCAGGAAGGGTGCATAATTAACAACTCCCTGCAGAGAGGGACAATTCCTGGGACGGGTTACCTTAGCAACTGGTTGGAGCAGGGGCAAGTTATCTTGATAAAGGTGGAAGAAGGGCTCTGTCTCTATTTTCAAAAAGAATAGTATAATTTGGGATTTTCCTTTCCTCTACTGTGGAGTAGAGGAAGGGAATCAAGGGGGATGGGTGAAGAATGGCAAAAGGGAAAACCAGTGGAATGAATCTGACATACCTTACCTTTCCAGTTTATATATATGAAAATGTCACAATGAGTCTTACCTTTATGCATATCCACAAGGCATTGATTTTAAAGATTATAAAGAAATAGAAAAATCAGTAGAGGTAAAGAAACAGGGAAAGGGAACAGTGGGGGGGGAAGAGGGAAAAGAAAAGGGAAGTATTAGGGTCTGAAATATTATATAATACTAGAGATATATGAAAGTTAAACAATATACAATCGCCAACCTTAAGGAACTTTTCTGATGTTTGTCCTTGGATAGATAAATAAAGCTTTCCAAGTCTCAGTTTCCTAGTCTGTCAAGTGGAGGAAATACCTATTCAAATTTTGGGCTGCTGGTGGTTATGTATGTATCCCAGCAACTCAGGAGGCCTAGAAAAGGGGATCACAAATTCAAAGCCAGCCTCAGCAACTTAGCAAGGCCCTAGGCAAATTAGTGAATCCCTGTCTTTAAATAAATAAATAAATAAATAAAAGGACTAGGGATGTGGCTCAATGGTGAAGCACCTCTGGGTTCAATCTCTAGTACAAAAAAATTTTAAGTTTTGGGGGTTTTGTGAAGAGTATGGATGTATAGCATTTTATGGTATGTCTATTATTAACTAAATGTTTAATAATAAATGTCATTTGTGGTTTTATCTATCACTGTACATTTACTATGCACATATTATCAAATTGGATAGGTGCTATAGCGTAACATTTCTGTTATCTATCAAGGATTAAACAGACATGAATTGTACCTTCTGAAACATCTGGTGTCCTAGGAAACTCTCTAGTCTAGCAGAATTCATCTTACTTTCTGCTTATTTCAAACTAGGTAAAAATCCTTGGACTTGTCTTAGATTAAACAATATATCATTTCAACAGCCAGCAATCTTGTTCTGAGAGGACTGTGATAGGAAATTCACTGAAGTACTTCAGACCTGTTAGGGTTAATTCCTGCTATTATAATTCCTACTGTCATTGTAGTAGTCCTTAAAGTAGAGCTGGGATTTCAACTATTCAGAAGCCCTGTTGATTTCCATGCTTATTGGGCAGTTGTGCTCCCTATGTACTGCTCAGGAACTTTACAGGTTACAGGAATATCTGGTGCAATCCCATCACAGCTAAGAAATCCATTAGTACTGCTCCCCATTGTTTCTTTACTGCATGCCACAGAACCCTGGTAATATAGCATGTGCTACCAATAAACACCATACCATCATAGCCATGCATATGCTGTTCTCAGACCCTAAATTGCTTCAAGGGAACAGCTGGAGTTGTGAAAAAATGGCCAAACTAACACCTGGGGTTTTTGAATGACACATGATAGTTATACCCAAATGAGGAGTTATTCCTTCTGATATTTGACCATATGGGGCCATTCATGTACATTTAGTGGAGGAAATTTGTTTATTTGTTTTAGTTTTCTTTCCTTTGCTTTTTGTTTTCCCTTGGTAATGTAAGTTATACAGGACACTTCCATAGCAGTGATAACAGTTCCTGAGGAACTATCTGAATGTCAAAGGAAGTGTGTGAAACAATGCAATGACTTGGTAATAGCTTTGGCAGGAGCCCTGCCATATAACTACATCCTGATGGCTCTGTTGGACCCATTAGGCATGTATGAGACAGTGCAGTTGACTCTGTAACAGCTCTTTTGGAGATGTTACACTATCAGAGGAAGTGCATAAGTCATTGGGATTACTTTACATGTGGGTGAGACACTTCTGTGGTGAATGTTATGTTTTTACAATTGAAAACCACTTTGATGACATTGAACTTCAAGGTATTATCATGGTAGATATAACAAAGTCATATTTTTTCAGTAGGTAATTTTAACTAGTATTTTTAGTGTTAAAGTATTAGCTGATGGTTAAAAATTACAATAATTGAAAACAAGTATAAACTGGAAAAGTGAAATATCCTTCTCCCTACCTTTCAAGTGTCATTTTTGAAAGACAGCTAGTGTTAACAGTGTACAAATGGGATCACATGCTACAGAAAAACCAACAACATTTTCCAGTTCAGATATCTTGGATATATCCCCATATCTGTAACACAGATCTACCCCATTAATTTTAACGTATGGAATTTTGTTTATGTATATGCCATTTTTGAGGTACTGGGGATTGAACCTAGAAGCATTTTCCACTGAGTTATTTTCCCCCTTTTTTTATATTTTTTAAAATTTTGAGACAGGGTTTCACTAAATTGCTGAGGCTGACTTTGAACTTACAATCTTTTTGTCTCAGCTTCCTGAGTTGCTGGGATTATAGGCATGTACCAATGTGGCCAATTGTATCAAATTTTTTTTTTATTTAGTCATTTCCTCTTGGTGCACAACTAGTTTTCCAGTGTTTGATCTTAAAAGTAGTACTATATTTAATATCCTTGTATACATCTTTTTGCACACTTCTTGAATAATTTCTTAGTACTAAAAATGATGGGCAAAAGATATATGCGTGTTTAATCTTTTTTTGTATATAATATCAAATTTCCACCTTAAAAGAGCACTACCTACTAACACTATATGAAGAGTATCTGTTTTCCTATATTTTTACCAACACTGGCAATGACAAAAAAAGATTTCTAATACCCAATCTGCTAGATGAAATATGAGAGCTCTTTATGGTATTATTTTGTATTTATTTATGAATGAGTTTGGGCATTTTTATATGCAATGGCCCATTTGCATCTCTTCTCTGAATTGCCTGTTGACATCCTTTGCCCAGTTTTCTACTTATAATCAATAAGAAAAATTTCAACAACAAAATAGGAAAAAAAAGTGGATATAGGCCATAGAAAAGGAAATGAGAGTGTTTCTTGAACATATGAAAAAAATGTTTAACCTTACTTCTAAGAGAAATTACTATTAAAATTATAATACATTATCATTTATCACCTATAATCTTGGCAGTAATAAAATTTTGATAATGTGCTTTTTTGAAAACTGTGCATAAAACATTGTTTAAAGGAGTATAAGTACAATCTCTATTAAAGAAAATTTAACAATACTTAGGAAAAAAATGTTCTCCTTTGACCCAAAAATTTCAATTCTTGAAATTTATCCTATAGATATTGAATGAGCACTTAATGATATGTATGGGGGGGTCACTGTGGCATTGTTGAGATATCAAAAAATCAGAGACACCAATCAAAATGTTTGTCAATAGGAAGAGATTTGAATAATTTATGGTTTATTCATGCAGTGGAGTGTTCTGCAGCTTTAAAAA